TAGGAGTCTTTTCAAAGTTCACATTTTAAACACGTCCAGAAGAACTGACCAAAAGACTGAATTATGAATTGAGAAACCGATGCAAGTGTCCAGGGGGCCCTGCGTCACCCCAGAACAATTGCACTCACACCCACTTTGCACCCTCCACACACACACACAACAGATACACACACACACACACACACACACACGTGACACTGTCCCCACACACGAGAGGCCGAGGTGGGGCTAGGACTGACCCCAATTACCCCTGTCTGTCTTCCCACACACACATCTCCTGTTTCTGTCTCTGTGATGACTGGTGCTGATCTGAACTCTCTTATAACTGACTATTGATTACTCCTTCTAAAAGTAACTTGATTATTTACACTGTTTTATGGATTACATACTTTTTTGGCAGTGAGAATAACGAATATTTGTCTACTTATCTCCATGGAGCTCTTATTGATTTACCTGGAAAAGTCAGAGTAAAATGAACATGAACTCTTGTGAGCTACTGTATATAAAGGTGCACTATGTAACTTTTTGGTTGGTGGTCCGTCACCTGCTGGATGTGTCATTTCTCTGCCTGGAATGTTCCACAGTATGACATTAAACAGCTCTACCTTACATTTATTCAATTACAGGTGGTTTTATAGCTCAAAAATACCTAGAAAAACAGTTATTCTGACTGTGAGCGGGGTCGCCTCTCCACAGATCTGACCTGTAACTTTTGGTCTGCATGAAAATAGAAAGTTTCATTGCCATACTCTGAAACGTTCCAGACAAAGCACTAATATTTCCATGGAGAAAAGCATTTGAATAGTTATACAATGCCACTTTAAGTCACATTATAACGGGAGTTGAGCTTGAAAATAAAGATTGCGCAAACATGCATGAATCACTCCAAACAGAACTTTGAGAGGGTAAATGAGAAGGAGAAACAACTATAAAATGGTTATTTGACATAAATGGTGTGCTTTAAAGCCAGGACTCACGATAACACCATCATTCCAACACGGGCTTCAGATAGACTCATATTAAAGCATAACTATGGCTGAACAGTTTGGCAAAAACATGGAACTGTATGTCACTTTTTCTGATGCATCGCAATTGTGATTCGATTTGCGGTTTATTTTTTGGTAGTAGGATTTTGTTCAAAGTCAAACAAGAATCACGTTTCAGAGCATGTACAGATCTAAACTAAAGAGATAGCAGCTTTTATACACGATAACACATATAATTTAGGGGAGGAAAAGATGGTACTTAAAGGTGCACTATGAATTTTTTTGTTTGAGGAGTCTGCTCATTTCTATGTATATTTCATTGCTCTGCCTGGAATGTTCCACAGTAGGACATTAAACAGCTCTACCTTAAATTTATTCAATTACAGGTGGTTTTATAGCTCAAAAATACCTAGAAAAACAAGAATTCTGACTGTAAGCGAGGTTGCCTCTCCACAGATCTGACCTGTAACCTGGCCTAGTTTAGAAGGTTTAATGCCATACTGTGAAACATTCCAGACAAAGCATTTACATCGCCGTGGAAAAAATTTGACGGACCCTCCACCAGAAAAGTTACACAATGCATTTTTAAAGTAGCCTGATTCATCAGCCGGTTTCACTTCGTAGAAACTGTCTGACCTTGCAGTGTTAGAATTCGTTTGTTGGACAGTAGGTGGGTACTCTTTTTATTTAACCAATCGATGCTATTTGGTCGTGACATATGTAATGGTATATTAAGCTTTTCCATATCCTGTAGGAAGAAGGACAATAACGTCTTTCCCCTTGATGAAATTGACCAAACATTGTCTTTGTTCCGGCTTTAAATCCTCGATCTTAAAAATCATTGCCAACATAGAATATATGTCTCTTCACTGATTGGCTGGTGCCCAAACTTCTGGGGTTCTTGCAAACCGTCTAGTGTATTCTGATTCTTGACCTAGTCCCCGGAGAGAAATTAAATTGAGGGGAGGCACTAGGTGGTGCCAGTCTGGCTACCTTTAAAGATCCTGTACCTGAATTGTTCCATGTATTTGAAAAAAAAAAAAGGTCTTGCCTAAGTACAAATATATTGTATAAGCAGCTCTACATCTAATTATAAAGCGCTTTATTGTCCAAGAATCGGGATGTGCACTGTTTGCATGCTAGTTGTTGTTAGCATTAGCATGATAGAAAAACTCTGGCCTCTGAATTTTGTGAAAATCGCTTAAAAACTCATCCTGGTTTTCAAGTTTTTAAAAACAGTAAAAATCAGGTGGAGCGTCTTTAAAGGTGTATTTTGTAACTTTTCCGGCAGAGAATCTGTAAAATGCTTTTCTTTGTGGAGATGTTATTGCTTTGTCTGGAATGTTTCAAAGTATGGCATTATACCTTTCTATCATTATGGAGACCAAATCAGACCAAGTTACAAGTCAGATCTGTGGAGAGGCGACCCCACTCACAGTCAGAATGCCTGTTTTTCTAGGTATTTTTGAGCTATAAACCCACCTGTAAATGAATAAATATAAGTTAGAGCTGTTTAATGTCATATTGTGGAACATTCCAGACAGTGCACTTTTAAAATGATGACTCTTGAGTCTGAAGTTCTCCTGACCTCCTCCCTCACAGTAAACAGAAGAGTCACTGTGCTGTCTGCCTGTAATCCCTGATCCCAGATCACCGCCTCAAAAGTACATTAGGGAATTACACTGATAATCCAGGGGGCGACGTAGAGCTCCTTTCTGCATGAGGCAAAGTCCTGCCCACTCGGAAAGTATCAGCCAATCACTGCTGTGGTTAATTGGATCCAGGGACTTACAGCTGATTTGTCCTCTCACTTGAGGTCTTAAGGGTCTACCGTATTATCTGGGAAAGGCAGGACTAAAGCAAGACTGAGCCAGGACTGCTTGAGAACTAAACCAGGTCCTATATTACACAAATATGACTCTTGTGAGCTTCAAGTCATGATATATTGTTGCTACCTCCTCAAAAACAGACCTGGAGTTGTGTTTTGTTTCTTTCACACATTTGAGTAACTTTATTTTTACCATATTTTCCAAACTATAAGTTGCTCTGGAGTATAAGTCGCACCAGCCAAAAAATGCGCAATGACAAAGAAAAAAACATATATAAGTCGCACTTTTTGGAGTATTTTGTAAAATCAGAGACCAGGAACCGACATTTCATCTTGAAAGGCAAGTTCTAGTAATAATAACAGAATAGTAGAGAACAACTGGCTGAAGAGGCGTTAATATGTTAATGTAACATATTAACAGTTATTCAGATAATTATAGCGTAAACAACATAACATAAGTTTACCAAACTCACAATCTAACTCCAAATCACTAAATCCACTGAATTCTTCATCCTCGATGTCACTTCTGCGCAAATTACGGAGATAAACCATAGATCCATGATATAAACAGAGCGCCACGTCCTCTTCTGTGGAGCTGTCGTCAGACTCAGCATCAGTTCCAGTTAGAATTATTCCAGTCTTTCTGAATTCCAACAGGATGGTTTCAGTTGTCACTGAAGTTTAGACTTTGTCGATTCATCCATTGACTTCCAGGAAAGTTGCATGGTGCACTCGACCGGTTGTCGTGAAGCTGTGTTCTTTATCCCCGCTTCTCCCCAGTCCCTCACAAGTTTCTCGCTCACTCCAAACTTTCTTTCTGCTGCTTGATTACCGTTTTCAGCTGCAGATTTCACTATTTGCAGCAGGACAGCGGCTATTTACAGCGGCTATTTTTTCAGGTATGCAGGAACAGAACATGTGAGACAGACAGTAAGAAAACATTTCTGTTTGTGTGAAATGTGACTTAGTGTACTTAGGAGTAATAGTAGTACTAGGATACTGACACTACACAAAGACTAGAGCCTCTCACGGCTGTCAGTATGAACATTTTAATATATAAGTCGCACCGGAGTATAAGTTGCAGGAAACACCCAAACCATGAAAAAAGCACGATTTATAGTCTGAAAAATACAGTAGTCTGTCTACATCGCCGAACCTCAAAATGCTCTGTTATACCTTGTGATGTCATGAAGCGACAGTTTTCATGCTATCCTTTTCTTTTTGTTTGTACAGAGCGGCAATTCCGGGGCTGAAATTATCTAAATGATTCTAGTAAAGGTGTATGGAGTTTAAAAACACTGTGGAACATGTGCTGTATTATCACATGACATCACAAGGAGGAACAGAGTGTTTTCTGTTTGAGAGAAGAACTCAGCCTAAATATGCAGAGTTTGTGTTAAACGTGTGTGAATGAAACAAAACTCAAAATAACTCCAAAATAGTGCAATATGGGCCCTTAAAAAAAGTCACATTTGCACTTTTAGCCATGCACTATAGTTCTGTGCTAAAACATGCTTCAAACAGGTGCCCACTAAAGAAGTCAACTGTCTATTTTAGGAACACTTTGAACATGGAGCAGTCTAAAAGCACGGCCCAAGCCTCGAATCAGACCAACTAAGTGCCGGAGATTTCTTTTACATGGACTCTGAACTCAAGACATTCTGTTCTGAATCATTTTATTTTTGACTTGCAGTTAATAATTCATTGAGAGTCTTCCGTGTTTTGTATACATACAGTTCTTTAATAGATTTAGTTTTTGCTCCAAGCTCAGTATATATCATATTCAGGTTTGTCATGTTGTTAAGTTGGCCTAAAGTAGAACCCCATTAAGGGAATTCTTAAGCACCCATCAGAGGGGGACACTGCACTCAAATGTCCTCTCAGGTCTGGAAATCAAACCCAGGATTTTCTTTACTCTGGTTCTAAAAGTTATGAGAATATTGGAGTAAACATGTCTTCTGTATTTGAGATGTGCTGTTATTAAAAATGTCCCAAAGTTGGACAGGTGTCTGCACTGCTCCCTTCTTACATTCAGACAGAAAGTAAGGGACTTGCTCAGACCAGACCAGACTACGACCTCACTGTGCGGGGAGCATGCTAACTGTTAAATGACCATTGAGTGACCCTGCAGTCAAATCTGTAGCAACAAAAATAATGATTCGTGTTTTTGTCAATCTGTTTTTTAGGTAATGAAGTTCTACCCAACGGCACCGAGCCGGAGATTTCAACCAACATCACGTCCCTTCTGCCCGAGGAGGCGGAGCCAGAGAAGGCTGTGGAGTCTATTGTCACGGTAACCGGAGTGAGCGCCTCAGCCGGTCCCAGCACCGTGAGCACTGCCAGCCCTCGAGGAGGCCGCCTGCCCCGTGCGGGTGAGCAGGACGGGCACACAGACCAGGGCAGTGGTATGTTCTCTGAGCCAGTGGTCCCTGCTGCAGAGACGGCAGCTCCCTCTCAGATCAGCCCCGATTCAGCTGAGACAGAGCACCTGCTGCCTAGCAACGCACAGGGACAGGAAGTGACGGAGGGGGAGGAGCCAGAGGAGGAGGACGAGGAGGAGCTTCACACTGCCCCGCCCTGGATCCACAACAAGGACACAGCCGTTTTCAGTCTGGACCTCCACACGACCACCACACCTCCTCCCTCCACCAACCCTCCCAGCCAGGACGAAGTGCACGTAGACTTCTTTGACCCTTCCTCCCGTGGGCGTGGCCTAGACCTAGCCCCGCCCTCTCCCTCCTCTCAGGCTCATGAGCTGCAGGGCGGCGACCCCACGTCCTGGGCCATGCCGGATAACTACGATTACCTGACACCCTACGATGATGGCGTGTCTCCTACTGCCGAAGACTACTACATGACCACCACTGACGCCTATGAGAGCGACGTGGACCTCCGGCTGTCCCGCACCAGGTCCCGCCTCCCCGGGCCCAGCTCCTTCCTGCCCGGAGTTGGCCGGGCTGGCGTGGGTGGCCCTGTGGCGGCACCCCCCGCTGCCCAGCCTGTGGACGGCTCTGACGGGCGGGGCGGGTGCAGAGTGGGCTACCAGAAAGTGAACGGGAGCTGCCGCTCACCCTGTGACCTGCAGCAGAACTACTGCCTGAACGGGGGACAGTGCTACCTGCTGGAGGGGATGGGCGTCTTCTGCAGGTAAACACTCACTCGATACATCATGGTTTGTTATGATGTTTTTGTGTGGGAAGGCTCAAGGCACTGGAGAGTTTCTACTCTTTCTTTGACAGGCTTTTAAGTGTAATTATTGCTGTCATATTCTTTGGATAAGGCTTTAGCAACTTTCTTCATGTTGGCTGCACTTAAATGGAGCCGAGGATTGCGGTTTATGTAGTCCTGTCTTGATTGTCTTGTTTTGGATGATGCGTATAACTCAGTCAGTTTGTGGAAAAAAGCTTCAGAAGAAAATAAGGAATTAGCGCTGAGATCCAAAACATAACATTTCACTTTAGTTTCTACGCATTTACGTCACAATTTCTCTAAGACTTTTCACCTGTAACTGATGCGGATTGAAAATAATATGATTTAAGCATGTGACCAGCGGAGGGACAGTGAATCTACCTGAAGTCCATAATAGGAAAGAATGCGTCTGCTGTTGTTTCCATAAAATCTGTCCTTCTCTCTCTCCCCCTCTCTCTTTCTCTCTCTCTCCCTCCCTGTCTTTTCCATGGGCGTGCACGTGTTCCAGAGCTCCGTTCGCGCTCGTACAGATAGCACTAGTGACTGTCTCCTGATCCTGCATTAGTCCAGAGATGTTAGATTCAGATTTAGTGGTGTTTGGATCCAGGACATATGGGAAGGCTTAAGCAGCAACAGCTTTATGAGGCAATGTCCGCCCTGCTGCCAAAACAGCTTTTCTCTCAAAAGTAAAAGAACTGAAGAACGACATGAGAAAAGTATATTTGTTTATTCTTGTATTGTGTCGAATTTATGCTTAAAGGTCCATTGTGTAACATTTCTGGTGAAGGGTCCGTGAAAATGCTTTTCTCCAGATGTTATTTTTTTGTCTTGAATGTTTCACAGTGTGGTATTAAACCTTTTTATCTTTATGGAGACCAAACCAAATGAAGTTACAGGTCAGATCTGTGGAGAAGCGACCCCGCTCATAGTCATGTCTGTTTTTCTAGATATTTTTGAGCTATAAAACCACCTGTAATTGAATAAATGTAAGGTAGAGCTGTTTAATGTCGAACTGTGGAACATTCCAGGCAGAGCAATGACATTTCCACTCACCCAACCTAAAAGTTACATAGTGCAGCTTTAAGAATTTGATTTAAAATTCCCTAAACGTGGCCTATCACAATTAAACATGTTCAAATCAATCATAGCTTTTACTGATAACAACTGTAAAGCTGTTTTATTCTGAATTACAAAAACATTGAACAGAATGTCCCAGTTTGTTTATGATATAATTTGGTGTTCTCAAGACGATTATCCAATCAGAAAGCAGAATGAGCCTCACATGACTTTGGGTTGCCAGTTACAATTCTGAAATCCATTTGGAATTTTGGACATAGGGCCTCATTTCCTATTGAGCTAGAGTGTTGGAGACGTGTGTACACACTTTTTAAAATATTCCAACCAGTCCTTTTATTTGCAGAGGTCACTGGTGCTAGGCTAGTGCATGTCAATGGCCATAGTTACCCTGCAACTAAAAACAGTCTTACCCACTCCACAAAACACCCAAAACAAATCTGTTATTTCACCAGACTGTCCATGTGAATGTCTGTGTTGATAGAATAATGTCTGAAATAAAACTAACTTTGCATCGCATGAATCGTCGCATGTTGATGGACTATTTTCTCAGCAGCAGCGGTGCTAGGTGATATCAGTCCGCCGCTGCCAAGCTTTCTGTCAGGAAGTATAACTCACTGCTGCTGCTCAGACATAAATCCTTCAAATGCAAGGTTGGTTTTACTACTAAAATTATTCTATCAACACAGACATTCACATGGACAGTCTGGTGTAATAATAGATTTGTTTCGGGTCTTTTGTGGAGTGGGTAAAACTGTTTTTAGTGGCAGGATAACTATGGCCATTGACATGCACTAGCCTAGCACCAGCAACCTCTGCAAATACAAGGACTGGATGAAATATTTTAAAAAGTGTCTCCACACGTCTCCAACACTCTGGCTCACTAGAAAATGAGGCTCTATGTCCAAAATTCTGGACTGTCCCTTTAAACCTAGAAGGACTCTCTCTGACCTGGCCTCTACCTAAACCCCAGCCAGAGACCAGACTTTTGCACTTATGATAACGCTTACAGCTACTAACATGCTAACACACACTTCCTGATTATTGGACAATAAAACACAGCACACAGCATACATATTTACTGCTATTTACTTCAAACTGCTTGTACAATATCTGACCTCTACTGAAATTCATAGAAAAAATAAAAATAAAAATTTTGTACAGGCCTTTTAAATGCTGATTTAGCTATTCTGGAATAGCTATATAGTTAGTTTAGCCTGATTCATCAGCCGGTTTCACTTCGTAGAAACTGTCTGACCCCGCAGTGTTAGAATTCATTAGCTGGACAGTAGGCAGGTACTTTTTACAATGGCTGCTATTTGGTCGTGACGTATGTAATGCGCTGTTAACGGGGCTAACTCGTATATTAAGCTTGTCCCAAATCTCGTAGGAAGAAGGACAATAACGTCTTTGCCCTTGATAAAATTCACCAAACATTCTCTTTGTTCCGGCTTTAAATCCTCGATCTTGGGAATCGTTGCAACACAGAATGTATGGCTCTTCACTGATTGGCTGGTGCCTGAACTCGCACTTCCGGGTTTTTGTGAACCGTCTAGTGTATTCTGATTCCTGACCTAGTCGCTGGAGAGAAAAGAAATTGAGAGGAGGCACTAGGTGGTGCCAGCCTGACTAAATTTAATTTGGTTTGGCCTCAGATTATTCCTGGAGTTGTATAGTGATCTCTTTTAGCCTTTCCTGTTGGTCACACCCACAATTACTTAGAAAAGCAATAATGTTGGTGAGGTGTCTTACTCAGAGACACAACAGCATTAAGCTACTTGGTTTGAATCATAATGTGACTGACCTGCTGTATGTGTAATTGTTACTTATATTATATTTCGATGCGAAGTTGTATTTACTGCAGTTGTGATGATTTACCAACACTGTTTTCACCCCAGCCGGTCCGTACACGTCCACTGTTCTGTACTTACACTCTTTTCCAGTTTTAAAATACCTTTAAAATGGCCAAAATGCACGCTGAAATAAAATGTCACAATGTCACAAATGTAGAACAAATTGTCTGAGACCACAAGCTCCACCAAACTCACTGTGAAATGTCATCAGTCTCCGATCAGCAGAGGGAGGAACACGAGGAGGACGAGGAGGGGTCTGATCAGGTGGGACTCCAAATGCCAAATGTGCGGAGTCTGACTGAGAAAAGGTTTATCACAGAATCAGAATATTTGTCATGCCAGTATACAAAATACACAGAAACGAAATAAGAGTTAATAGTTTAAAACATCGTATGTTAAGTACAGTCTTTAAAAAAAACAGCCTCCATCCGCTCCCATTTTCTAAAGTGTTTCCAAGTTAGTGCTGTTTTGTAAGGAGCATTAGTGTCAAGGGCTGCACGACAGAAAAGGCTCTATTCATGCTCACGTCACAAACCAGGAAGACGTTTGGAAACATGCGATGACAACTTCCGGTGTGGTTCCCGACACTGGGCTCGTCGACCTACTGTGATCAAACCCATTAAAGTAAATGTGATCAGCGGTAAAATGAAGACTGCATAAGTATGTGCTGTTTGGAATCATCTGGAATTTGGCGCCCTCATCTTTTCAAATCGCATGTACCCAGTGCGGTTAGAGTTGAGCGTCAGTGGGGAAATGATGAAAACTGAGGTATGGTTTAAATTGTTGATTAGACGAACATAACGGAACACTACAATGACATGGAGATGAAGAAAACTGGGACACATTTTTCCTATAACTATAGTAGCCAGGCTGGTGCCACCTAGTGCCTCCCCTCAAATTAATTTCTCTCCAGCGACTAGGTCAGGAATCGGAATACACTAGACAGTTTGCAAGAACCGCAGAAGTTGTAGACCACACACCGGCCAATTAGTGAAGAGCTGTGAAGCCATGACGTCAAACTCGTCGCGCCTGTCTGGATCCCTTTTGTGGTACAGCACAACGGTAAACAAAGTGGTTGAGATGGATGTAGATGAAGACAGACATTCTGTGTTGACGATTCCCGAGGATTTAAAGCCGGAACAAAGAGAATGTTTGGTGAATTTTACCAAGGGGAAAGACATTATTGTCCTTCTTCCTATGGGATTTGGCACATTACATACGTCACGACAAAATAGCAGCGATTGATTAAATAAAAAAAGTACCCACCTACTGTCGAGTGAACGAATCCTAATGCTGTGAGGTCAGACAGGTTCTACGAAGTGAAACCGGTCGAAGAATCAGGCTAATAAGAGAGCCCGCCGGAAGTTGTAATCGCATCTTTCCAAATCTCTTCCTGGTTTATGCATCAGGATAAAAACGGTTCCGGAGTCTGGTGGTCCTGGCCTGTAGGTGGCACAGTCTTCTGCCTGATGGGAGAGCTGTAAAAAGTCCATGTGCTGGATGCGTGGGGTCCTCCATGATGCTGTACGCTTCTGTCCTGCACCTCTTGATGTAGATGCCTTCAGTGCAGGACAGACAAAGACTCAATACCGATTCCAAGACCTCAGTCTTTTTTAGACAATAGAATGTGACTTTCAATTTTAAATTGTAGTACATTCTTTTATATTACAGTCTCTCAGTGGTTCAGGTAGGTTCTGCAGTGGTCCATGGGCGTATACTAGTCTATGAGCTCTTATATTTGTTCTGCAGCTCATATCATTCTAAAGCTATTCAGGAAAGCTTCATTTCTGTCCTGAATGTGACTTTTTTGGTCAAAGTTTCCATATTAGTTTTAATATCAATTAGAATCTGATTTTCAATACTTCTGACAGCTCTATTGGCGATCTTGTGACTTGAAAAATGAGTTCAATCCAACCACCGAACACCATTTTTCCTTCTCAGTTTCTGACATGACAAATCAGCAAGTTCTTTGTAGTTAGTGAAATGGCTCGGGCTGTGGACAGATGACTAGAGCAGCGAGAGATGCAAGCT